AGTAGAGACGGGGATTCACCGTATTAGCCAGGATGGTCTCGATCTCCTGACTTCGTGATCCACCCGCCTCGGCCTCCCAAAGTGCTGGGATTACAGGCGTGAGCCACCGCGCCAGGCCACAAAACCTGTTTTAATGGAGTTCTTTCACGGGCTATGAATTTGAGAGGATCTATCTAACCGACCCTTACCCCGAATGTTTTCCCATTTCTCTTCATTTATTCATTCCACAGATAATTATGGAGCCCCTACTATGTACAAAGTCACGGGAGGAGCTGGAGACACAAGAATGAAGCAAACACAGTCCTTGCTCCCCAGAAGTTTTACAGTCTGTTCAGAGAGACAGGTCTTCCCACCAGGGTTCATAACCTACGGGGTACTTTGTTAAAAACGAGCAGGGTTACTACGAAAACTACAATGGGAGAAATTTTTCTGTGTATCTCCATGCCCTTTGGAGCACAGATAATTGACAGTTGGAAGCTAAAGGGCTTGGGTCCCAGGAAGGTTGTGATAAGTCCCTGATTGCCTCCGGTGCCCTTTTTTGACAGGTCTTCACTGATTCATGCATCAAATATTTGCGTAACTGTGCCTAGCTTTGTGCTTGAGGCAAACAAAACACACATCTATTTCGAATGCCATTCAGAGGAAGGCAAGACAGGCACGCACGTTTAACTAAATAGTAAACAGAGTAGTAAAACAGGAAAAGGACTAAGAAGAGTTCTTGGTGGCATTAAATGTTTTGTGATATTCGACACCTTAACGTCTCTGACTTGACACCAGTACACCCGCAGAGAGTTCTTTTCTGGGTTAGGAATTTCAGAGGACTTGGCTGACCGACTCTTGTCCCGAGTTCAGCTCACTCAACCCAGTCCTAGCAAAAAACTGAACCTAAGCGAATCTGCCGAGCCACCGTAGGAAAGGTCGGCCAAATCGCGCGCGCACATCTTCCACCCGTGGACTCGTCAGGGCGTGAGGACCTACCTCACGTGACCATTAGCAGCCTCCCGATTGGTTTTGCTCCTTTTCTCTCCCCAATCAGTGGGCTGATGCGCCGAGAAGGTCGGGCGCATGCGCAGTGCTCGGATTTTGCTTGGCTACCCGGAGTGAAGCGAACGGGTTGGGCGATAAACAGGCCGTGGCTAGGGAAGACGGAGAGGGGGCGTTCGCTCCTCTTGGACTTTTCATGCCTTTTTTTTTTTCCCAGATGTGGCTTGGTCTGGACGCAAGGTCCCAGCAGCCAGCTTAAGCTTACTCTTTTGTGAAAGGGGAAAGTATCCCCTGTGGAAAGCAGTTAAACTTGTGGAGAGAGTGCGAGACGTGAGTTCTCCCCTATGTCAGGCGAATGGTGTGGCCTTGAGCTGGTCCAGGAGCCGGCTCGACGTGTCTGAGGGAGGCCCCAGAGGGGGCGGGGAGGTGGCCCTGAGAACGCGGGTTCTGTAAAGAGACGTTGGGAAGATTCGATTCCGAGAAGAGGAAGAGCCGGATTGAAAGAGAGCCAGGCCTCTGAGTGGGAGGGGGCTGCTAAGATGGCGTCGGCCTCCTCCGGGCCGTCGTCTTCGGTCGGTTTTTCATCCTTTGATCCCGCGGTCCCTTCCTGTACCTCGTCCTCAGGTAAGCCGGGCAGGGCGTGGGTAGGGAGCTGGTGAGGAATATGGGATGGGAGGAAGAGCGAGACCTAAGAGGGTACCTGTAGCTGGGAATGTCCTAGGGGTTACCGGTAAGCGGGGGCGAACTGGGCTTTCAAATAGGAATTTCCGAGCGGGCAGGAGGAGTTTGAGGAAAAGATAAGTTTGATTAAGAAGTTGTCGAAAACGTTGGTTGTCTTTGAGGAGGAGAGATGGAGATTGAAGGTGGGGGTAGGTGGCCGGGCGCGGTGGCTCACGCCTGTAATCTCAGCACTTTGGGAGGCCGAGGCGGGTGGATCATTTGAGGTCAGAAGTTCGAGACGAGCCTGGCCAACGTAGTGAAACCTCGTCTCTACTAAAAATACAAAAATTAGCCGGGCAGTAGTGGCGTGCGCCTGTAATCCCAGCTACTCGAGAGGCTGATGCTGGAGAATCCCTTGAGCCTGGGAGGCAGAGGTTGCGGTGAGCCGAGATTCGGCCACTGTTCTCCAGTCTGGGCGAGAGAGTGAGACCCAGTCTCATTTAAAAAAAAAAAAAAAAAAAAAAAGGTGGGGATAGGAAACAAGAGAAACGGAAGGGAATAGAGAAACTTAAGAAAGTAAATAGAGGCCTAAGAAGTAGAGAGGAACTACTTAGTGTGAGAGGCAGGTAGAATCTTAAGTTGATTGTGGGCTAATTGGATGAAAATGTTGAAGAGAAGCCATGGGACTTAAAAAATATTTAAGAGTTATTGGACGCTTTCGATTTCTGGAGAGTAGGGAATGGTGAATTTTGTTGCGGTGGCTGGGAGTTGTTGAAGCCATCTTTTCCGTCAGATACTCCACTAATGTGTCACCCTTTCTCACTTCGCACCCCCACCCTTAGGCGCGCACAGGCACACAGACACACATACACATTTTCTCAGACTAACTCCTTTGGTAATTCCCAACTCTAAACTGCCCAACTTTGGGAAGGAATGGAAATTTTGAAGAGAGCCCAAGGAATGTAGGAAATTAAGGTCAAAGACCTTAAAAACAGATGGGAAAGATGGAATGGAGTCTTGAATTGCAGTAGAGACTGCGAGAAGTGATGTTTTGGAAATTAGGCCTGAGAAGAAAGATGGGCGGGGGGTGACTGTTAAGTGTTGTGGGGGAGTATTGCATAATAGAAAATGGACTGGAAGAATGCTTAGGCTGTATCAGGAGATTGGAATTTGGAGAATGGAGCCAGGTTAATGTAGAGAGCTCAATGTATTAATAGTTAGAAACGAATGAAGATTGAGGGAGGACTGAGGAGGCCCACAAGAAAAGCAATAGATTGTGTGTAGGAGAGAAAGTGTGTGTATGTGTGTGGGGTGGGGGGCGGGAGGTGAGTCAGAAACTGAGCTCTTCCATCAGAAGTGTCTGATGTTTCACGGTAACTGCTGCTTTTATACTGTGAACAGACGCTGCCAGATGTTGGATGCTTTGCTTGAGATTTTGGTATTTCCTCAGGCCTGGTATTGCGTTTTTGCTATTTAGAATTTGCTGAATAGGATTCCTTCCACCTTTCACATTCCAGCTCAGATGCTGGAATATCTAGTCACACATATCTTCTTTGTAAGCTGCAGTTTTATTTGTGTATCTCTATTTTTAGTTTGTTGAGAGGGGTTTTTTTTTTACCTTTCCTATAAAAGTATTAGGGAACCAGAACAACTCATGCTGCATTATAAGCATGAAATAGGATAAAGTAAAAGTGACAGGGTTTTTATTTTTAATAGAGTAGCTCCTTAATTTGAAACCTGTTCCCCCTCTAATCCCCAACCCAGAAAGAAGAAAGGTTATGTATGGTCCGTAAACAAACTTCTCAACTATTAAGTCAGGTGTTTGCTCTGTACTCTTTGATATTTTGTAGGTCTTTATGTTTTCTGTCAGATGCTCTCACTAACAGTTAATAATACAAATACAAATTGTATAAATTTTTTTTTTTTTTTTTGGAGACAGTATCGTTTTGTCACCCAGGCTGGAGTGCAGTGGTGCCATCTTGGCTTACTGCAGCCTCTGCCTCCCAGGTTCGAATGAGTCTCCTGACTCAGCCTCCCAAGTAACTGGGAATACAGGCATGTGTCATCAAGCCTGGCTATTTTTTTTTTTGTATTTTTAGTAGAGATGGGGTTTCATCATGTCAGCCAGCCTGGTCTCAAACTCCTGACCTCACATAATCCGCCCACTTCGGCCTCCCAAAATGCTGGGATTACAGGTGTATTGCAAGGTCAGGAGTTCAAGAGCAGCTTGGCCAACATGGTGAAACCCCCATCTCTACTAAAAATACAAAAAAATTAGCCAGGCATGTTGGCGCAGGCCTGTAATCCCAGCTACTTAGGAGGCTGAGTCAGGAGAATTGCTTGAACCCAGGAGGCAGAGGTTGCAGTGAGCTGAGATCACGCCACTGCACTCCAGCCTGGGTGACAGAGCAAGACTCTGTCTCAAAAAAAAAAAAAAAAAAAAGGCAAAAAGTGGCTACATTTCACGCTGTTGATGGACTGTAGAAAGATTATAATGGTCTCCTCCAAATCCAAACATGGTAATTGCTCCAATAGCAAAAGTAGTTAAACATCTCTTAAAGCTTATGATTTGCTTTATCCTGTGTATTTCACTTGTCAGCAGTATAAAAGACTGACTCTGGATTAATTGTGAAACTATCTAGACAGAGGTTTAATATTGGTGGGGAACAAACTTTCTTAAATAACCTCTTCTTCCCAATTTAAATGACAGAAGATTTGGAGTGCCTAAAATTATGAGTGGTTTATCGAAAACTGTCAATCTGTCCTTGGCTGTGACATTTTTGTTTTATATCCATTTTCAGCATTGTTAGAGAACATTGTCCTTTAGGATTTCAGAGTTTCACCAGAACTTAAGTGGAGTTCAGCTAAACAGCTAAGAACAATAAATGGTTTTAGGATGGTTGACACACACACTTCTTGAATTTCTACAGGGCTAGCCTTCTAGCCTTTAACAATTTAGGAAATCATAAACCATCATTTGTTCCTGCCAACTTTCTAATTTCTCTGGTACCATGCAGACAGATGACTCTCTTTCAATCACAAATAAAATCTTTTTTCTTTTTTTTGAGGTGGACTCTTGCTCTTGTCACCCAGGCTAGAGTGCAGTGGGGTGATCTTGCCTCACTGCAACCTCAGCCTCCCGGCTTCAAGCAAGTCTCCTGCTCAGCCTCCCAAGTAACAGATTATAGGTACCCGCCACCACATCGGCTAATTTTAGTAGAGACGGGGTTTCAGCATGTTGGCCAGGCTGGTGTCGAACTTCTAACCTCTGGTGATCCACCCATCTCGGCCTCCCATAGTGCTGGGATTACAGACGTGAACCGCCATGCCTGGCCAGTAAAGTCTTTTTTTATTTTGAGAGAGAGTCTCCCTCTGTCGCCCAGGCTGGAGTGCAGTGGGGCAATCTTGGCTCACTGCAGCCTCTGCCTCCTGAGTTCCAGCGATTCTCCCGCCTCAGCTTCCCAAGTAACTGAGATTACAGGCACCCGCCACGACATCCAGCTAATTTTTGTGTTCTAGTAGAGTTGGGGTTTCACCATGTTAATCAGGCTGGTCTCGGACTCCTGACCTCAGGTTATCCTCTCACCTTGGCCTTGCAAAGTGCTGGGGTACAGGCTTTAGCCGCCGCCCCCGGCCTTGCTTTTTGCCCTTTTTACCACCATGAGGAGAGTAAAGATTTTCTGTCTTGGAGGCTTGATTTGAAGTTAGTGGTTGGGTTAGAAGGGATAGGATACTAAGGTATACACTGCTCCTATGAAATAAAAGTTGTGGAGTGAAATCATGTGTGACTTCCTCAAGGAAGAGCACTTGAGGTTGGGTACGGTGGCTCACACCTATAATCCCAGCACTTTGGGAGGCCAAGGCGGGCGGATCACCTGAGGTCAGGAGTTTGAGATTAGTCTGGCCAACATGGTAAAACCTCATCTCTGCTGAAAATACAAAAATTAGCTGGGTGTGGTGGCAGGTGCCTGTAATCCCAGCTACCCAGAAGGCTGAGGCAGGAGAATTGCTTGAACTCAGGAGGTGGAGGTTGCAGTGAGCCGAGATTGCGCTACTGTACTCCATCCTGGAGGCAGAGTGAGACTGTGTCTCAAAAAAAAAAAAAAAAGAGAAAAAAGAAAAGCACTTGAAACCCTAGATAATCATGAGCTGTAGTTCCTTTTGCTTCAGACTAGAACATTTTTTAAATGGTCATCGCTCACCTATATGACTTTATGTGCACAAGTGACTTAGACATAACTTTACAGCTGCTTACCTGACTTTTTCTCCCCATTAACTGCTCAGGGAAATACAGAGGATACAGGATTGGAGCATTTTTGCTTGAGACTTTTATAGTAAGGACAGCCTCATCAGCCCATGATTCTGATTGCTTTGTTCTTCCCAACAGAGTCCTACCTGTAACCTGCTATAATCTGTTAACTCCAGTAGTAGGGGTTCTTGTTGATCTTTTTTTTTTTTTTGAGATGGAGTTTTGCTCTTGTTGCCTTGGTTGGAGTGCAATGGCGCGATCTGGGCTTACTATAGCCTCCGCCTCCCGGGTTCAAGCGATTCTCCAGGCTCAGCCTCCCAAGTAGCTGGGATTATAGGCACCCACCACCATGCCCGGCTAATTTTCTTTTTGTATGGGGCTTTCACCATGTTGGCCAGGCTGGTCTGGAACTCCTGAGCTCAAGTGATCCACCCACTTCAGCCTCCCAAAGTGCTAGGATTACAGGCGTGAGCCACCATTCCCAGCCTGTTGATGTTTTTTTGATCTGTGTTCTTTTGTGTACAGTGTAAGCCATTTGTGGGCTGATTTCTTTCGCAATTCTTCCTCTTAGTGAAAAGTAAAGCAGTTTAGATCATGTTGAATGAGAAACTGAAATTTAGAAATGTAAACATAGGACACAATGTCAGAGTATCACCAGGTGCCATTTTGGTTGATATTTTATAAGTAGGGAGGTATTTTTCTGTTTACTCTTTAT